GTCCAGAGCAGACACAGGCAGCCCCTCTGCGGGCTGTGCGCGACTGCAGCGCAGGGTGCCAGGCATGGGGAGAGGGAGGGGCCACTCCCTCCTCCTCCCCCCCCGTTGCTCCGCTTTTCCTGGAGCCACTTTTCCCTGGCACCTTCCCCCTTACCTGTGGTTCATGGTCTCAGGCCAGAAGCCCCAGCTGGGCCTTCTGGCTAGGGGCTGCGTGGGACCTGCTGTTGTGGGAGCCCACTGGGCTTCCCCTGGGTCCTACTGCCCTTGGTTTCTGTCATTTTTGACAGGAGCCAAGGGCAGATAAATATTTATTTTCTAATTTTTTTAGGGGCCCCGCGGGCCAGATAGAATGGCCTCGTGGGCCGGATGTGTCCTGCGGGCTGTATTTTGCCCACCCCAACGTGTGAGTTGGGATAATACAAGTCTCCCTATGTAAATGTAGTAGGCATGCTCTACAACAGAAATGGAGGAAGAAGCCAAAAGAAGAGGAAAAATGTTTAAAGTAACCTGCAGGTGCCACTTGTCTGGAGAAAGGGTTTTAAAAGCTGGAAGAAACACTGGCGGGTACGAGAGGACAACGCATCATATCCCAACAACCTGGCGTCATTCTCTTACAAAGCAGTGTGTCTATGTAGATAACTATGAATTCTCATACTGCAGTTCCCCAAGCCATTTTGAGCCTGTTTTAATTTAACCCTTCTTTCTGAGTTTCCCATAGACAATGTAATATAAAGAAAATAAATGCAAGAAGAGTTTTCATTAGCTTTAATCGCCTTAAGAGACTTGTGCATGTTTTTACAGCAAAATTGTGACCTGGAGCCTGACCAAATAAACTTGTTTTCCTAATGTCAGGTTCAGGTTTTGGAGCTTCCATCCAAGACATCAGTCTGTACCTTGAAGCCAGAGGCAGGTGCCAAACTGGGCATGCCCATGTGTCTGAAGCTATGGCAGGTAAGGCAACCAGGCTTACTAATTGTGAAATGTTTTCCCTGTGATTCATTCATATAAAGCATATGAATCTTTCTTCACTCAGATTCTGATTTATTGTCAAACCAATCAAGTAATTATACTATTAAAAGGTGGGAGGAGGGGGAGAGATTTGTGAACGTCCTTAATGTAACTTCTAGCTTTCCAAGCTTTAATGGAAGATACATGATCTGCAAATACTTACTGAAAGCTTTGTAACCTTAGGATAGATACTTTTTTTTTTGCATCAGTCAAGAAGAAATGAGTGATGTATAGAAGCCAATCTTTTGATACATATAAAAGGTGCTGAGAAATGAGTAAGGTATTAAAAATAGTAATTTTAAAGGCAGGTTGTGCTCATTTTCTCCAACCCCACCAGCTGGAGAGCAGGTTATTGAACATTTTCATTCTAGACATGCAGCATGGGTGAAGTGTTTCAGACTTGTGTCTGCTTTGAACAAGAAAGGAGAATATAGTTTTTTCCAAAAAAGGTGTTAATGACTTCTGAGGTGGAGACTGTAAATGAATAATTGAGAAACATAGAGTTTAAATTATTTCCCCTATATCTTACAGTCAGTGGCAGTGAGAGAGAGAGAACTTCATGGTCTAACCATTTAGACTACGTTGCTTGCTGTTCGTTAGTGCCACATTATTGCAGATAATTTATAATTTAAAAAAATACTTAAAACCTGATTCTAGCATTGATTCACACTCAAAATTCTTATTGACTTGTGAGGCAACTCCTTGTGAAGTGGTTGTGGGTTTGGGGCAAGCGTCTTGGGGGCCCAGTCTTGCTCCCTCCACAGACAAAGGAGTTTTGCTATTGACTTCAACCAAAATAGGATGGGCCTCTAGACTGAACTCCATAGTAGACTTAAAGATGTATATAACATCAGAAAAATAAAAATAGAATAATTGTACTTTAACTGAACCAATTATGTTTTTAAGAAGGGTAATAAATGTTGAGTTCTCGATGGGAATGAATGGGGGTTTCTGTGTTCAAAAAATTAAATAGCATGAAGGTAGCCAAGAAAATATGCATAGTATTTAGCATTTACTGGCTTTATAAACTATTTTCTACAACGTGTCCTTTCTAATACATATTAATATCACTGTTTCCCTAGACACAGATACAAAATCTTAATTGTAGGTAGTTTTAGTTGTGCTGCTGATCTGGGTCAGAGAATTGTTGATTCAGCATGACCTACGATCATTATTATGATTATATGATAATAGTCATTATTATTATTCCATTATTATGTAAATTAGATGTATTCATATAAAGTAGGAGGGGAAAAAGTGAAGCTACATGTTGGTTTTGAGAAATAACATCTTTTCCCAATGACTGCTGCTTGTCATTGATCTTCTTTGATCTTCTGTTTCTACCTTACATGAATTGGATTGCATTGTAGCTGGAGTGTGTTCTCTATTATAGAAAAATTCTAAAATGTCTTAATGTATAAATGCTTTCAAGGAAGGATGATTTTGTGTATACAAAAGCACAGGCCTAGGAATAGGAAGATAGATGTGAACACCTTTCCGAGCACTTGCACACACTCAGTGACTTCAGGAATTCACATTTCACAACAGATTCTGTAGCATAGTGTGGATAATCCTTCTTTACTTCAGATTTCTCTTAGGGTTAATGGATTAATGTTTGTAAAGCAGTTTTGAATCCTTTAGTGCAGAAGCGCAAATTAATGTATCTAACAGTTAAACGGTATTTTCCTTTCGTTTTTGCATTCATTTGGAAATGGCCTGGTGGTTTCCTCATTGTGAGTATCTGCATTAAAACCGCAGACTAAATGAACACCATCGCCTGTATCACTGTGTCCTTCTGCGTGCTTATTTCAAACCGATCTGTGTATGAAATGATATCCTTCACTGGCAGCAGCTTCAGTTAGAAATGTAGCTGTAGAGTGGGAGGAAATTGAGGGTTAGATTAGGCTTGTGGCTTGAGCTGCGTTGGCTTCTCCTGAGCAATTAAAAAGCTGGCATCAGCCTATTCTGTTGTTTTGGGAGTAAAGCAAAATTATATATATAAAAAAAATCATATTTTGCTAATTCTCTTGGTAAAAGAAGCAGTTCATATGATTGGGTATAGTATCTTCACCTCCCATGATGGATCATATTTGTAAACATATATGGTATGTATGTATGTATGTATGTATATACAGACATACCTGATTGTCCCTCCAGGCTCCCACTGTCCTGCCATTACTATTTGGGTTGGGTAGGATTTGCAGACGTAGGATAGTTAGTTGTCTCTTCAGATTTTTTTTTCCCCAGTTCCTGGGAAAGGCACTGTGTTGTGTAATGTCTGCAAACAATTTGACAGGAATAATGCATGTAGAAACTGGAAATGCAGAGTTATTACTTTATATAAACTATAGCAATTATTCTTCCAGAGTTGACAGCAAATCACGTTTTCTTCCTTCCTTGATAGTTATCCAATGCAACAACAACAAAATGTTCTGCTTAGGAGAAACAATGATTTATTTAAAAAATTCCCCCTGAAACCAGAACATGAGTAGTGAAAGATTTGAGGTTTGGGATTTTTTTGTGGTTTTTTTTTTTTTAATGAGGTCCATTATTAGTGATTGAAGCAAATAAGCTAGTGTGATCCCAACTGCTTTGCAAGGTAGAGATCAAAACTAGTAATCTAGTTGGTTTAAATAAACATATGCTATAGCTTTGCACGTACATCTGTAAATATGTCTGCATAATATGTATAAACATCCTGTGATTTGTGTTATCCTGAAAAAAATAGTTTCTTTCCTCCATGGAAAGCATTGCATGTCTTTTGTTTAAACAAAGCCAGTTTGGGCTCTTGTCTGCAAATTATTGTTATTTTCAAAAGAAATCTTTGGGCCACATTGTCAAAACATTCTTGGCATCCAGTAGTTTTGATTATTTTTAACAGAGACTGATGGGAGATAAACACCTATGAAATGCTGACCACTAAGAAGATGACAAAGGACCTGAGCTAGCCCAAAGATAATTAGTTTTCTTGGCTAGTGGAATATACCCCAGGGACATTGCCATAATGAAATCACGCCCCAGCAATAGAGCTGTACAAATAATTGATTTCTTACTCAAAGAAATTACCCTAAGGTTTTTGTAAAAACATTTTATTTGACCCCAAATTTAGTTTCATTTTTAAGATTTTCTTAAATATTTTCTTAAATTTAGGCTAATTCTGAGGATGAAAGTGTTTTTTTTCAAACTAAAGAGTGAAACTTTTAATTCTGAGAATGTTCAGATGAAACACCCTGACTTCTTCTTAGTGCCTTTCACCTCTTCTTATTCAACCAAAATCCATCAGATGCCATTGACATGAATTTGCATATGTTATTGCTGAAACTCGAGCTACATTATTTTGACAATAAAATATTCAGCTGACAAATTCCCTAACTTCAGTAGGCATGGCTGTTCACCATACAAATGCCTCATAGCAGAAAATGAGCCTTGCTTTTAAAAAAAGAAAGGATCCTGTGGATTAAGGAATGAGACATATCCAGACTTTATTGGGGATCAAGTCCAATGGGGATGATCATGCACACAGGGACTTGGGCAGTGCTTGTCCATAACGAGTTGCTGGAGACCTCTATTTTTTAGCATTAAGAGGTTACTCTATCCAGCCACATGGTTTGTGAAGCTTGTCCCCTTACTTCTGAATTCTCCTCCAACTAAATTCTGGAAGTTTAGCACTTAAACTGCCAGCATTCATGAAGGTCCACTTTCATTCTCTTCCAGTATTGAGTGGAGCTCTTGTCAGGCTACCCATTTTTTATTAGTTGATCTCCTCCTAAAATGTGTTTTAACTAGTGTGTGAGGCATCTGGAAAATGTAATGATGAGATTTTGATGAGTAGAGATTTGTATCATATTAATGATACTTTGGCTAGTTAAGAGAAACTCTATGTGAAGTTAAGATACTAGTAATAATTTATCCTTTAAAAACTTGTTAGATTTTTATTTTATAGGAGAACTCCAAGCCCAGGAAAATTATAGTGGTAGCAGGTATGTTTTAAAAGAATAAAATATGTTTGCATGTGTGTTGCCAAGTGAAGACATCCCTATATATGCTGATGTCAAATCCTGGGTCTCTTTTAATGACTTTTTCTCTATTAAAGATGTAACCGGTGTTAACAGATGCTTGTTTTTCAGTTGCTTTCATTAGGGATTTGCATCCTCACTCACATGACCAGTTACCACTTAAGGGATCATTAGTCTTTTGGCTAGTGCCATGATGAATATTTTCCTTAAGTGTGACATGTAATCCAGTAACGTTCCCTTCCTTGAGTTATTTCAGAGGCTTAAATAAATTAGGTGTCTGCCCGGGGTGCCATGCCCTTTGGCCTATGACATCATTAATCAAAATATCTCTCAATTGGTTACAGTGGGATTCAGACGCCACTGTTAACTCTTTGCTAACAAATGGAGAGAGATTTTTGGGCCTGAAATGACACAGTGTATGTGCAGAAATTTTTGTCATGCAGGGATTTTGGCAACAAAAAACAAGTAGAACCTCATTAGCATAATAGAGGGGCAAAAATAATCCAAGAGTTTATTTGTAATTGGAAAACAGCATGAAAGTGTTGTGAGAAGGTAAAGCATGTGGCTTGGTACAATATTGGACATGTCCATTGGGTGTTATATCAGAAATGATTCTGAAAATTTGGTTCTAATAGTGTGGAGGTAAGGAGCCCAAGTAAAAAATGTAAGGTTCTGAAATCTTCAGGATAATGAGTTTGAGTCAAATAATTTTGAGGGAAGTTTTTGTTATGCAAATAAGTACTTTTCAGTTGCTGAGCATTTGAGAAATGATTTAGCAGTAATGATTCTGGATAAATACCCAGAATAAATGCCCAAAAGGGAAGTACCAGAGGCTGCCTTTAGTGTTAGCATTCTGAGCTTTGTGCTTGCAACTATTCATTCTCTAGGTCACTTTTTCATTACTTTTTCCTGGTACTTGGCCTAAAGTCTGATTTGGAAATAGGAAGACCCAACAATGATGCTTATTTCATGTTTTTCCCCTCCTCTCCCTGTTTCTGAACAGCCTGGCTTTGGGGCATGTCCTTTCCTTATGGCTGGCTATGAGGATGGATCCGTGATCCTATGGAATTTATCAATGGGAAAAATGTTGAGTCGGCTTGCTTGCCACCAGGAGCCAGTGATGAGCCTTGACTTTGACTCGGAGAAGGCCAAGGGGGTCTCGGGTTCATCTGAGAAGGTGCTTAGCGTCTGGAGCCTCGATGAACAGCAGAACTTAAAGGTCAGGATTGTTGGCCCCTTAGTGTCATTTATCCCGCTTTGCACTAACAGTTTGATAGACTAAAAAAATATTTAGTCGTGAAGAAGAGCTGTTGCAGATCTCCAGCTAATTAATCACAGACTGGTTAGAATGCAAGGGGCTGGCTGTGCTAGATGGCTAGTCAGAGAAAGGTGATGTGGTTTTTCTTAAACCTGTCACGTGTTTCTGGTTTTTACCAAGGCTGTAAGAGGCACATAAGGCTAGCATTCTTTGAGCCATCACTTTTGTACCTTAATATATCATTGCCCTCTTGTAAAATGTGCAGGACACCCCAAATTTTATAAATGAAGTGGTTTTACTATAAAATAAAGGTTTGTTTTCTGAAGGGCTCTGCTGGAAAGGATAGAGCTTTCCTTTGACATTAGGGAAAACAGATGTGACTTGGAAATGCTTTACAAATAAAAGATACTAGGTGACTGTCTGGGTTAGGTGCCATTGAAAATTTCAACCTCAGATCTCAAAACAAGTTTCTAATATATCCGTTTATATGCTGTTCTCAATACTTCAATGGGATGGTTGCTTGATTAGCCCATTCCTAAAAATCCATTAAGAACTGCAGACCTCAGCAGTATCAGAAGGAGAGGATCCATCACAACTACATAGGGGATCATGATAAAGGCAAAAATGAATTCAGGTACAATTCACCTCCCCTTGGTAGAGGCAAGCATAGGCCTTACTCTAGATCCCAGTTCAGACTTCCTTATGAGAGGTTGCTGGGTTTGGTGTCCTCTGCCATTGCTTTCTGTGGCACCACCCCAGGAGCCCAGCCTCCTACAGCCCCATATGCTGTGGCTCTCAACCTTTTTGTAGCAGGGCCCATTTGTAGATATTGATGGCCAGTCCCAACCCAGTAAATAGTTTGTAGAAAACAGCCCTGTGGCCCTGCTAGGGCCTTTCACTCCCTACCCACTGCCCCCCATCCCCAGGCTCCAGCCCCTCCACTTCCCCTGTGTGGGGCAAGGGAGGGCACGTGCTCTCCAGATTTCTGTGCTCACAGTGGGCAAAGGGCTGCAGCCTGGCCAGACTGGCATGGGCAAAAGCTGCCTCTGCAGTCCAGTGGGAGGGACCTGGCATGGGAGGTCCAGTCAGGCTGCAGCCCCATGCTTGCTGTGGGTTCATAAATCTTGCTGTGGGTTCATAAATCTGGGGGGGGGTCACAAGCCCCCCCCCCACCTCCCCAACATGTTGCCTATTCCACCCTCCCCACTAAATTTACCTGCAGGGAGCTGTGGGAGCTGCTCTCCACGCTGCCTGGCTGCCACATGAATGCGTGCGCTCACACATGCTCATGGTGCCCCCTGCCTTATTGCCCTCCCCCAAGCCCCAGTCAGCCCTTTGTAGGCTGGAACTCTGCCAGCCTGCAAGAGGAAACCCATAGTTTCCCACATTTTTCTCCTTTAAAGAAGAATCCATTTTTAAAGTCCGTTTGTGACCCTTTCACATATTCTTGCAACCCGCTTTTGGGTTGCAACCCATAGGTTGATAAACGCTTCCGTAATGAATGGTTCTCTGGCTTCTTCAGAGTTCCTTCCTGGCATCTTCAGCAAGGTCCTGAAAAAACCCCACCTCTACTCAGCAAGCCTCAACTCCCTTTTCTAATGGTCTCTCACCACTGCTGGCACTTGTAGAATCATTCCTGGGTGGCTCCTAGCAAATGAACAGGCTTTTACAGAGTCCTTGGAAGTTAAATTTGATGTGCAACCACGGGTTTTGGTAAGGGCTGCCCACTGTGGGCTTGGGCTCCCCACCCTGCTGCCCTCCCTCCAGGGTCTCTACGGCCCAGTGGGCGGGACCCGGCATGGCCGGGCAGAGCGGGATCAGGTGGGGATGCTCCTTGCTGCTGCAACCCTTGTGTCACCCTGGTGAAGTGCTCCCTGCCTGCCTAGCAGCAGTGGGGGTGGTGGCGTGGGGTTGTGCCCCTTCCTGTTGCTGGGTGGGCAGGGAGCACCTCGCCAGGGTGGCATGGGTCTTGCCGTGGCAGCAACATGCTTCCCTGCCACGGCGTGTCCCACCCGCTGGGCTGCGGAGGCCCCGGAGAGAGGGCAGCAGGGTGGGGAGCCTGAGTTTGCAGCAAGCAGCCCATACCTGCCCCATGCACAGATCTGGGGGGCATGTGCTCCCCATATCTGCCCCCAGGAGTCTGCACAGCAGCAGGGAGCCCCTGCCCCGCCCCAGATGAGCTGCCTGCAGCCCTGTCCCACTCCTTGCTGGGACCTTGTGACTGCACATTCCAGCCCTGGGCTCCAAGCCTCATGCACTGCCTGACTGGGCAGCAGCCTCAGCCCTGACCAACTGTCTCCCTCCCTGTGGGGGCCTCAATCCCCCCTTCCCCCACCAGACTTACCTGCAGGAGCTGCTCTCCCGGCTGCCTGGCATGTACATGCACATGGCGTCCCCTGCCCGACCACCCTCCTCCCAGCCCCTAGCAGGCTGGAACTCTCTCAGCCTGCAGAGAGCTCTTTGCAAACGTGGAAAATCCATGTATTTCTCTGTTAAAATTAGAACTCTGCGTTTTTCTCAGTTAAAAGGGAAAACCTGCGTTTTTTCCGTGGGAAACGGAAAACCTGGATCCCTGTTCATAACATATAGCTGAGAATGTATTGTGAGAAACAATATCTTACTTGTCAGGCTAGTGTCAAGGAAAAAAAATCCCAAAGTAGGAGACAGTACCAAAAGTATCATGATAGCAAACCCCAGAGACGTTCATTTCAGAGTATTCAGGTATTATTTTCATGCAAGATACAGTCCCAAATGTTGTGTACCTAGTAGAGGCATGGTTGATTGCTGAGCTGACAGTGGTTTTCCTTAAATGAAGTGCTGCTTAAGTACAAAGTATTATAATATGTAAATAATCATTTTTATTTAGTGCATAGTGTGAATCCACAAATAAAACTAGAATAAATAAAACACATCTCTCACACAAGCACTAGAAATAGTCAAGGAGGCAGATTAAGTTTTTTCCACCGTTGCATTAATAATACCAACCAGATGGGGACTTTTCTTGACATTCCAGGTACCTGAGGTAATAGTAGCATTTGGAAAGCCACTCAGTGGCACACTTTTTACTATAAAATGTCTTAATAACTAAACTTGGTACAGGGGTATCTGCCTTCAGAGAAATGATGATGCAGCGATGGTGCCGCAGCGCTGGTTTGTGTGGCAGCGTTCCAGTGTGGCGATGAATAGATGATGAGGGTGACTACTTACTTTATCCACAAAAGGAAGCTTAGTGCATTGTCCCATACGAGTAAATTGCTGAAGTTATTGCTATCAGTAAATGACTGGATGGGTTACGAGCTTTGGAGGAGGTAGTGTAATTGAGGGATAATGTTTGTGGCAGAGGAACATGGAAGGTAAACAGCTTCTGCAGGTGATTAAACAGCAATGTAGAGTTGAGGCATTCAGAAATTGTAGAAGCTCTGCGGTGCATAAATGCTACCACAGACCTTCATCTCGTTAGACAAGGAGAAAAAGGAAGACTTGATAAACCACAATGTAAACAAGCACATTTGTTTTTCTTGACTGCAGAGGCTCTAAAAGCAACCTGCTGCTGCTGCCGCCTTGACTCTTTCTTTCACAGCAAGGATGGCCTTTGAGATGATAAATGTTTACTGGTTGGATTTTCAAGAATATTGCCTGGGACACTTTAGTGAAAAAGGGGCAGTTGGACTGTCCATGTGCCCTGGCACAGGCCCATGTGGGAGTGCCTTCATCTCTGACTGGCCAAAAGCATAACATCCAGATCTCAGCTCTTTTGTCCTGTTTCCTTTCTGAATCATGAAGTTATTTTTTCTAGTTAGGAAAGACTTTGCTGACTATAGTTGTTGCCTCTACAATACTACGGGAAACTAACCACCTCCCCCCACCCCACAAGACTACAGTATCCTCTGGTTACAAATACCCTGAGTGTGTGTTCAGGACGTTGCGGGAGGTTCCCTTTCCCCCACTCTCCCCCTGTCTGGATGGATGTTGCAGTTATCCACTGTTATTCCCTCTCTGTCAAGCTGTGACTTGCTGCAGACGGGCAATTCCACCTACTCCTTGCTTTCAGTTTCTCCTGCATGGGTTTTGCCCACATATGCTGACAATTGTTATAAGGTTATGTCTTCTAGCTCATAACCTCCACTACAGAGGCCATGTCTACTTTAGACATTCTTGCCAGCATACCTATGCCTGTCCAGCACGAATTTGCCAGCAAAACCCACTGCCATTGACACAAGCTGGCAAAACTGGATGTTTGCTGATATAGCTTCCTTTATTCAGGGATGCTGGAATACACTGTACTAGCAAAAATACATCATTGCTGGTATAAACTGAACCTTCACTGGGAGTAGCAAAGTGTACCTACTGTTGGTGAGGTGTTGAGGATGAGGTGTTTGTCTGACTTTAAGTTGTACTTCCATTTTTCCTCCTGTATCTGTCCTAGTTGAATTTTAGGCACATTAGAGCCAACACCCTTATTCTTCGGTCTTTGTTTAGAAACAACCCCATTTCCCAGCTTACTTGGTATGAAGGATGAAGAAAGCACGTGCCAGATTTGAATTAATGCTTCTTTTTGAGGATTCCAGTTAATATTTATAACCTTTAGATCAGTGATTCTCAACCAGGGTGTTGAGAGATTCTTTTAAGGGTGTTGTAGAGTACCACACAATATTTGCACTGCTAGGTGTGTTTATGTTCATTTATGAAGTAAACCCAGAGATTTAGGATTCAGAGACCTAGACAAATTGGAGGATTGGGCCCAAAGAAATCTCATGAAGTTCAACAAGGACACGTGCAAAGTCCTGCACTTAGAACGGAACAGTCCCATGCACCCATATGGGCTGGGGGCTGATCGGCTGGGCAGCAGCTCTGCAGAAAAGGACCTGGGGTCGCAGTGGACAATAAACTGAATATGAGCCAGCAGCGTGCCCTTGTTGCCAAGAAGGCTAACAGCATACTGGGCTGCATTGGTAGAAGTGTTGCCAGCAGGTCAAGGGAGGTGATTATTCCCTTCTATTCAGCACTGGTACGGCCACATATGGAGTACTGTGTCCAGTTTTCGGCCCCCACTACCAAAAGGATGTGGACAAGTTGGAGAGAGTCCAGTGGAAGCCAGCGGAAATGGTGAGGAGGCTGGGGGACACAACTTAGGAGGAGAGGGTGAGTGAACTGGGCTTATTTAGTCTAGAGAAGAAAAGACTGAGCGGGGATTTAATAGCAGTCTGCAACTACCTGAACTGGGGCTCAAAAGAGGATGGAGCTGGACTGTTCTCAGTGGTAACAGATGACAGGACAAGGGGCAATGGTCTCACGTTGCAGCAAGGGAAGTTTAGGTTAGATATTAGGAAAACCATTCTCACAAGGAGGGCAGTAAAGCACTGGGACAGGTTGCCGTAGTGGTTGTGGACTCTTCATCCTTAGAGATTTTTATGACCTGGCTGGACAAAGCCTTGGGTGGGATGATCTATTTGGGAATGGTCCTGCTTTGAGCAGGGGGTTGGACTAGATCAGTGTTTCTCAACCAGTGGGATGTGTCCCATTGGTGGGGCTCGAAAGTCATGTAGCTGGGACTTCAACTCATTGCCCGATTGAAAAAATCAGTTGTTTGCACTTCAAATAGATGCATCACCGGATATCGAGCAATGCAATTTTATGGGGTTTTGGTTTTATCATGGTGGGACCAGGGTTTTTTGACAAAATGGTTGGTGGGATGTAAGGTGCAAAAGGTTGAGAACGGCTGAACTAGATGACCTCCTGAGGGCCTCCAACACTAATTTTCTATGATTCTATGAAATATATTGCTCTTACACCACAATGTATATACATTTTAGAGTTGGACTGTTGACTGAATAATTGCACTGTCTGAAGCAAGTGATAAGAGTAGCAGTTAGTTTGGTGTTCTGGTTAAATCTGAAGAGCTCCCAGCACTCATTGTAATTGAAAGGCTCTTTTCCTTTCTAAGTGTTTGATTCTGCAGGGTGCCCAGGGTCAAACTGTGCTAACAATCCTTGAATCAACCTATGCACGTTGCAGGTTGTGCTCCAAGAGTTGTTTAACAGTAATAAGGAGCTCCTGAGCTTAAAATCAGTCATCCATTCATCATCTACTCCTCTCTGGGTGCATCTACACAAGACGTTATGTCGCCATAGCAACAAGCTACGGCAACATAGCGTCAGCGGGCACAAACCGTGAAGCCAATGCTACTGCACAGTAGCAACAAGCTACTGTGCAGGAGGGTTGGAAATGACCTATGCATTGCCAGAAGTGCGCAGTAACAGCGGTTCATGCGCAGTCATTTAGCAAGTACTAAATGACTGCACAGTCGGGCGCATGTGTAGCACGAACAAAGGATTTCCAGAACAAGTGCTGGAAATACAAATATGCTAATACTGTGAACCAGTTCCTGGAAGCACTCCTTTCCAAAGGCTTTGCACAGAATGGCATCACAGCTGACTGTGTTTTTTGAGGGAAGCTTCCTCGGTAGGAATGAGCAGCAACGTAGTTTAATGCTAGGCCAAAACTCCTGCATGGGAATCTTGCTGAAGTCTGAAAATGAATGGCCGTGGCTCTGAACTGGCAGTTCAAGCTAAGTTCCAGGAACAGCTGAGTGGAAGAGTCAGGTTTTCACACATAATAATCCATTTTTCAATCACAGCAAAATGTAAACTGTATTTAACACACCTAATAAATGTACCAGATGCTTTCTTAGAGACCGTGCTGAGGTGGAATCTTGTCACCTACTGGTCGAAAAGGTCATTTCCATCTTCCTACTGTTATCCAACTCTGTCCCATAACTATTACCACACAGGGTAAAAAGCTAGTAGTCAGATTGACACCTGCATGTGTTTGTCACCTCTTAAATCCCAAAGGGTTTGTTTTCATAAGCACATTTTAAATAACTTAGTCTGTTCTGTGACTTTGCCCCTTAGGTTCACAAAACACATGAACTCATCAATTCTGGGATCTCTGATGTTACCATCCGTCAGGACAGGAAGATACTGGCAACGGCAGGGTGGGATTATCACATCAGGATCTTTGGCTGGAAGAAAGTGAAACCATTGGCAGTGCTGGACTACCATACTGCAACCGTCCACTGTGTGGCCTTCTCAGATCACAGCAGGCCTAGTGAAAGACTTCTGGCAGCTGGCTCCAACGACCAGCGCATTAGTATCTGGTCACTGTACAATCAAACATGAGAGGTGCTTGCTTATCCTGTGGACTGAAAAAAACAGATTAAAACAGTTCCTGGAATATGATGAAAAACTGGAGCTAAAATCTGCTGGGGGTGGGGGGTAGGCATGGGGTTCAAGGTGCCAGAAGATGAATTCTTCTACTGCTTGTTTGCTATGGAAAATTAAATTGGAGAGGAGAGTTAATGTCAAAAAGGGAAAAAAGGATCACCCTGTAGTTTTGACATGGGAATCGTGGCAGTCTAGGGCTCTGCTATGGGCCGTGCCACGGAGCTCCGCTGGTACGTTCTTTGTCAGCTGCCCCATCCGCACAATGGATACTGCACCTATCTTGCAGGAATGCTGTGGGGCTAGAATGGATCCATTTATACATCTTATGTGCATCCAGGAGTCTCAGTAAGTACAAGGTGTCATTGTTTCCTGTGAATTTACACCCATTAAACCATCCCCAGTGCTTACTCTTCCTCGTAGCTGAAGGACTATTTGATTTGTTCACACTTTTGTCGGTTTCTAACTTAACTCCACAGGCAAGAATGTGACTAGGGACGGCCTTTGGCATTTATGAATTTCATTAGATCTTGTGTCACCTCAAGCCTTGTGGTTAATCATGAGAAACAAGGAGAAATCTTTCCTGGCACAGCAGCATTGTAAAACTATGTAAAGCCTTTTTCAGAGCCAGAGCTACATCCTTACCCTGGACTGACTAGTGGGAGGACTTGAACCGAGCAATCTAATTAGCACCTTTCTCCTCAGAGACCACTCCCAGTAGCAGTAACGGGAATTGCGTGGAGAAATCCTTAGGCCCTGCACTGAAATGGTATCCTTCGACTTGTTGGCTCCATAGTCATGGAAGCTGAAATCCATTCCCAAAGCTGGTTGGTTCTGTTTGAGTCTTGGGATTTTTTAAAAAATATACTTGATATGAAATGGTCTGTGCCCGATCTAGAGCTCTTACCCACAGAAGTACCTGTGCCACCCTTATGTGTGGTCTGAAAGCAACTAGCAACATTACTTGATTTAAAGAGTAATTTAGCCAAGATAGGTGAAGTTTAGAATCCCCAGTCCAGTTCTGAGGATGATTTATTAGAAACGTGTGTCCCTGCCCATGCGTGAGACGGACATCCAAGAACGGGACAGAAACGTATTGAATAGCAACATCCAAAAGACTTGAGAGCAACATGTCAAGAGTCCATCTTGTATAATACTGGTGTACAAACAAAACACGAGACCTCATCTCAGTACCCCTTCTTCAGATGCATGGGTGATATTGGTGAAGTTTTCCTTAAGACCCACCTCCTATTACAGGACAGAACCATGTTCCAACAAGGCTTTTACTTAGGAAACGTGCCCTTTCACAGTGTTTGAAGCCTTGTCTCCCACTGAAATGCATTTCTGTAGTTCTTCCTATGTAGAAAATTGTATGGAAGTTTCCTTGGCATGCGAGAGTTGGTTGAGGCCCAGTCCACAGGGATCCTGTGCTAGTCATGGAAAGTTGCATTTGCTCATTACTTCTATAGGGTATATATCTAGGATGCATATTCATGCCAGGATTTATGTGTCTTCTTCCTTCTGAGCAGAAGAGAGGAGTGGGCTGTGAGTCATCTCCACAGCATAATCTTCCATAGAGCAACAGTTGTTGGAATACCAAAAAACTCTCCCCCCGCCCCCTCAAAAGACAGGTGTGGATTTAGGATGGAAGGGAAACCAGTGCAGCTTTCTCTGTTGGCAAAAGATGGAGGTGCATCCTGTCCAGTCTCAAATAAACCCTAATATTAATACAATGCAATTGCTGCTGGATTTGCATATGAGACTCCTGTCCTGCTCCTCTTGATCACTGGCAAAACTCCCCTGGACTTCAGTTACATGGGATAAGAGCTTATCCTTCATCAGAGGGGGAGTTTTTTGACTGTGCTTGGTGTCTTTCTTACACAATTAACTATGAAACTAACCATTCATCTTTAAAGAAACATGCCTATTGATTAGGGTGTTGACTTTGGAAAGAGAGAAACTGAGTCTGAGCCCTGCTGTACTGAACATTTCACTTTTTATAAAAAGTACTCAGAAGATCAGGGACAGAAATCCAGGCCTCCCTTTCTCAACTGTGTGTCCTACTCACCAGGCAGGGGAGGAGGGTCATTCTCTATCTCGCTGTGAGCATTATATCATTCCATACAAAGTGGAACAGCTTCAACAGGAGAGATGAAGGATGTCCCCTGCTACAATACATCCTTCCGTCATGGCAAGGGCACTTTTCTGGGGTGGAAGTAGAGATTCAGGTCTGCTCAGGCAGAGGAATAAATTGAATCCAGGTCTGCCTCATCTCCCACGCTCACAGAGAGAGAGAACGATTCTCCTCCCCTGCTTGGTGGCTAGGTGATAGGAGATCAAAAGAGAGAGGGTCAGTGCCAGCATTTACTAAGGTGGCTCCCTGCTCGCTGCTGATTGCTTTGAACCTCCTCCTGCCGAACTCTCCCCATGCTTTGCATAAGGAAGCAAGGCTCCTGGCTCAGCTTCGCTCTGAGGGCCAGAAATCTAAAAGTGAGGCAGTGCTCACTTTCCACTACAATGTGCCTGTAGTGTCTTAAATGAAAACTACTGAGATTTACATCCACACCGAGATACAAATTCCCTTTGTTCAAAAAGCACTTGCTCATGAAGTCACTGCACTGACAGCCTCCTTACTGCAGAAAGGCTTAATTCACAGAGCACACTGGGCTTCTCACTGAATCTGAGCTTCCTGACACTGTCTCCTGGTCTCTTTCTGTCTGGCCTTAAAGGGAGCCTTTGTGGTCACAGTTCACCATCTATAATAACTAAGGAGATGTTCACAGTGCTCTTAAGGTATCCTAATATTTATAAACAGATCTCATAAGCCCAACAGACATTTGCCTTTGTGTTCAGAGTACCACTGTGGGCTGCGAGCAGGGGTTCACATTTTTTTTGACTGGGTAGTTATTTTTAAAAAAACCTCAATGCAAACTCCTTCACCACATGTATTAGCATCCCTGCGTGAAAAATCGCAGTGGGGGTGCTTTAAGTGCCCCTGCTGCCATTTTTCAGCACAGGAACATTGATACATGTGATGTTCCAGGTGCTTTAATTAGAGTGGCTCTTGGAGCTGCTCTAATTAAAGCGCTCCCCTTATTCCCAGAGCATGTATATAAATGCCCTTTAGTTTGATTTAGACATGCATCTAAACTGAAGAGTTTGGATCTGGATCACAGCTTGGCTAGAATCTATGTAGGTTGCTTGCTCCAGGATCAAGACATGAATTTTAGGCTGAACTTTCCCAGTGCAAAAGACTGAGTATTGCTGTGGGCCCCTCTCTGTTACCACGGGACTATGACATACCTTTGCCTGATCACGTTTAGGCAACTAGAGAGCAAAATAATTCCAGAAAAACAGTAATGGCTTTTAATCAACAATATACTTGTGTTTATCTCATTGAGGATTTCAGCTGACTCATTTGCTCTCACAGAGCGAAGAACCACCTTAAGCTGGTAAAGTCAGACCTGGAATCTCACCTGTTGGAGAGGAACAGGGCGAGCCTGTACCTGGCCTAAAGGATTCAGGAGTGAAGGTGATGACAGATAAATTATTGCAGAAAAGGCTTCCTCCCAAGAAGCTGTGTCTGGCACTGCAAAGGGGGATAATGCAACCGACATTCATGAACTAATTGAAATAAATCCTGAACACTAGCATTTGTACAGCAATTACATGGAATATTTATCACCACGGGAATGAATGCTGATCTCTGACCTTCACGCACTTCCTGAAAACAAGTCCGTTAGTTCCAAGTGCTTTCCCTTATCTGCAGGTGGTGAGGAGGGTGTCCCAGGCCTAGGTAGAGATGTGCAAGACAAGGTGGGGGAGAAGGGAGGGGAAATGAGCTGGTAGCGAGCTAGAAAGGCAATTGGCTGAGGGCCTGTGCAGAGAAAGCAGTGAAACAGCCTCCTACAGTCTGAAACGGAATCAGATCCTCTCGCAGGAATGTCAGCCGTGGGGCCGAGAATTCAGGGGTGGGGCGAGCGGTGGCAGGGAGCCACTGCCCAATTCTGGGGTACAGAGCCCCACTAGCGACAGATCTCAGCGGTGGCAACGCGCGGCAAGTGATGGCTGCATTAACCCCTGTGGCTGCCTGACACTGCTGTCCTCATCCTGCTGCTGGGAGCGAGTCCAAATTTGGCTTGCAAGGAGCCCCACGGTCCAGATCTTGCGGGGGTACCGCATGAGTTGCTACCCCTGACCTATGGCATCATTACATCTGCAGCTCTCTGGGAATTGTTGCAGAGGTTGGTTGGGGTTTTTTTAGGTGTAAAGTAGAAAAGGACCATCCCGGCTTCTGTTTTTCATCTAAATTACATCTACTGGAGAAGCTCACAAATTCATTAACCTTTTCATTGACTCATCGCCCACATGCAGCCCTGACTAGGGCAGCCGCCACATTAATGAGGTGAACAGAACACAAGGAAGGCTGAGCCCTGAGTCACTGCATTTCCTTTGCTAGCAGCATCGCTACAGTGTGAAAAAGTGAGTCCCTTCTGCTTGGATTAATAGGACATGAAATGTTACAAGTAGTTATGTCAGGCAAAAGGCATTGTATGTTCAGGCTGTACAGGGAGTTCTGGAGATGAACTAATAAGAAATGCAGGGCTCTTCAGTTGTTCACACAGTGTTTGCAAATTCCAGTCTGGGTCCCAGAGCTGGAGGCATTTTTCCAGCTGATCATTTTCATTTCCCACAGCACATGGCAGCATCAATTTGGCCTTTGGGAGCAATTAAATAGCTGTACAGAGCCACAGAAGAGAAGATGACACGAACTTTCCCTCTCCTTCCCCCCTCCCCAGTGTGTTTCTCTCCTTCCATTATTTATAAGTGTCAGGCTAAACTTATCCTTGCTATAACGTCCTTGAAGTCAGTGGTGGTGCACCAGGGATGGGTTTGGCCTGTCTCTAAATATGTTAGCTCCTGAACTGTTCTGTGGCATGTCAATCACAGAAAGCTGCTGCTGGCATCTGGGTGAATGCTGAAGGAAAACAAATGACTAAATGCTCCTACTTTTTTGCAGCATCTTCTAGCTGAGGATCTCAAGACACCAAGTAACTTCACGAAGACTCGGACTGCCATGTGAGGTCCTGTAAGGGTAGGATAAGAGTAGCCTTTTGATCACCAGGAAACTGAAGCGCGCAGGAGCTGAGCGACTTCATAAATGCCTCACAGCAAATCATCAGCAAAGCTCAGACTAAGAGATTTCTTGTTCCCTGCCCTAACCGTGAGATCACACCTCTTCTGTAAGGCAAAGCCGGAAGACAGAAAATCATTACTATGGCTGATCAGACCAAGTTGCCACGATGGTGTTTGTATTTCATTTGCTCCAAAAGTGTTTACATAATGTTATCACATAATGGGATTAGTTGGGCTGAAGCATTTGCTTCCTGGAGAGGGAGAGGTTGATGCTGTTGCAGTTTAGTTGCATTCACCCCGCCTGCTTAAAAAAAAAATCTTGGAGCCATTGGACCCAAAGAAGTGACCCCTATATATTTAATACATGTCTGAGGAGCTTGGTGCTAACCATTTAGCTGCTATTGGGTTCTTTCCCCTCAATACCATCCATCATGGAACCTTTGGCACTTTAATGTATTATTAAACCACATAGCTGGGATTTTCGCAACATAATCTCTGAATTGTGAATGCTTTGCCCATATGATTAATAGTGTGAAATATATCTGTGCATGTGTTACCAGCATTATGATGTGTAATGCTTTAGTCTGATTTTGCTCAGAGGAACCAATGTGCAGATTAGTATTAGAGATCAAAATGCATATGGGGGGTGATATAAAAAGCCTAAAAATGGGCATAGTTCCCAAAATAAACTAATTTTACAATGTCCGAGGAGGTACCAGATTCTGAATGCACTTCTGATGGAAAGAGGAAGAGTGGGGCGATAAAGATGACCAGCAAAAGGGTTTGTTTTGGAAGACAGTAATGCATCTGTCCCTGTACACTTACAAACTAAAGCTCTTCATTGTCATAGCCACAGGCTCGCTTTATTTTAAGTTTTGAAACATATGAGAATATGACACAAATAGTAATCTGGGTAAAGGCTTTTAGAAACCATATGAATATACTGGATCCTGTCATCATGCTAAATCTCTGCTGGCCTAAGAAACTTCCACAATTGCTGCAGTGTTGGAAGCAATGGCCATTTTGAATTTCTCAGCAGTGCTAGAGGCAGAATTCAGACATCCCTGCCCCTAAACGCACAGGCCAAGCTACTTGCCCTAAAAAAGAGTCTCAATGACATATTGAAGCTATAACACATACTTGAGAAGTTCTGGCTCCTCCCAAGAGAAAACAGTGGTAATAGGCCTCTATCCAGTCTATTGCACTGATAAGCACTGTCAGTCAGTCAGTAATTAGCAATGATGTGCTTTTGTGTTTACAATCAGGAACACACTTAGACGTTCAAAATTAGCAGCGTCTTTTTCTCTTAACAGCAGATGGACACTGTAGGACAGTCTGTTCTGGTAGAGCATTGACAACTATTTGTGGCCAGCCTCAGCAGTTGCACAGATTAGCCCAACAAGCAGAAGTAACCCATGGGACTGTGAGTTCAGCGTATTGTATGCTGAAAAGTTCAAATCGGGCTCAGTCCTCTGCTCCATGCTGCTTTTTCTCATGCATGCACAGGAATGATCCCCAGTCATTTGTGGCAGCATCTGCTGTAGGGCTCTGCTGGCATTGGTAGGAGGTGAGATTAAGGTGCTGGTTTGACATGACAATACTGAACTTGCTAGGGGATGTGTACATGGCCTCCCTCAAGAGTAAGCACAAGGAGCGCAATTCCTGGTGTGCAGTCCCAGCTGGATTCCCACCTAAGCTGTTTTTAACATACTGCCTCTTGTGAGCATTGCCCCTTCAGATTGCATTTTATCTTGGCTTTTTATGGCATGCCAAGTCTTTTCCATGGCATGCTATGGCATCAAGTTGAATAGAGACGCAACGTCTTTCAAGTTATCCCTTGAGCCCATCTGCTTGGAAGCAGCTCCCGACAAGCAGGAAAGGGAATTGAATCAAAGCTTCGTCATGTTGGCTGAAATAAGAGCTGCGTGAGGCTGGGCTGGAAAAACCAGGCTGCAGGAAAGGCTTCCCCCAGGCCACATGCTGGAGGCTTACATGGGAGCAGACCGGGTGGGTGTGTCCTGCCTCTTCCTGACCCCATCGAATGCAACAGGATTTGCTTGCTTGGTTTAACTACCAGCACTGCTGGGGTGTGCGGGGGGAGAGGGGCAGGGAATGCTGTTACAGCTCTGACCAGTAGCGGGGCAATAAGCACGGGACAAGCCAGCGCAAGGCAAGAAGGTTTTTCTATTATCACCCAGGCTTAGCGTCGCAGCTAAGCCCATGTAAAGCTCAATAGTGTAAGCCCCCTCGTACAGGCCTTTCCATTGATTGAGCATGGGGCTTGTTCTAGCTTACCTGGAGATGGCTGTTCACAGCCAAGCAGGCCGAGGCTGTCAAGGCAGATGGGAATGTTCATTTTGCAGGTGGCTAGAATAAAGCAGAAGGCTCAAATCCGCTCTCCTGCCAGGCAAGCTGCAGTCCTGCGTCACAGCTGCCTCCGCTGAGATGAGGTTTTAGTGATGAGCAGCCCCCACACATCCCTCAGCTGGCTGCCGCCCAAAGTAGAAGGGCTTCAGTGCAGTGTTGGGTAGGGACCCAAAACAAGAGCCCTAAACCCCCGAGGAAGCACCCAGACCCATTATTCACACAGCAGCTGCAAACTGGCAGGGGAGCCATGCCATGCACAGAAATGAATCCATCCCTGAGTCCCACACAGTCCTGCAAGGGGCTGAGCCTGCTGGCCCCAGTTGACAGCAAGTCCATCCTGTACATTAAGCACCTGCTGCTGCTGTTGCGTTGGGGCCAGCCTTAGCTCAGCCAGGTCTGGATCATTTTCACAGCAAGGGCAACCAAATATGGGTGGAGGGTGGGTAGCACTGAACTCAAATGAGCAGCAGACCCACAGGCTGATGTGGTCTGGAAGGCAGGCTGGCTGGTGGAGTTGTATCTCATGGGTGTGATGTGAAGCTTAACATGCGACTTTAAGATGTACTGAATGCAAATCATTAGGCAAGTTCTACTGCTTTCCACCCCACAGCATCCAAGCCTGACAGTGCTTCACATACAAATCACTCTTCCACATGCCTGGAAAAGCTGTAGACAGGACCCTGGCAGACTGAGTCCCCCCAAATGGCAATTTTCTCGGTTGTGGCCTCACTTCTTTAGTAGTGAGAGGCCACCCTCTCACTAAATTGCTACAGTTAGTGTCAGTAGGCATGAGTGATGTATTGTAATTATTTTATTGTGGCTGCTCTTTAGAAGGTTTTTTTTTTGTAATCTGGAAATGTATCTAACTTCCCACATGGAAAGAAATCATTTATCATACTTTACACAGAGGTATTTGGCTAACTCTCTTGCACATCTATGCAAAGCATATTATATACACAAGGCTAAATTTGATAAAAAGGATATAAATTGTGCTATATGAAGTATATTACACAACTGTGTGTGCCTAATTTATAAACTCTAGCATCTTTGGCACATTTAAAATGGGTCATTTCTATTATTTTAGGAGGAGGAATATGGATTTTAGGCATAGATAATTATACGTAGCGCTGTGGAAGAAGCTATCACACATGTGCATTAATTTCAAAGGTGTTGTGTCTGTAGCTTGCGTATTCCCTGTTGCAAAAACATTTAAAAAACTGGTTTCTTTTGCCTGTAACAGGACTTTACATCAGTTATATGTGCGTTCCATTAGAATAAAGGAGCTGTTCTCAGTATACTGATTTATTTTATTGCATCTCAAGATTAGTTAGTAAGGTAACTTGGTGGTCAGTTCAATAATGTGGCTAATACAGTTGGTGTATAACTCTTCAGTAAAGACTGATGAATTTAAACACATGCTAAATTCACAGCTATGCTCATTATTGAAAGGCAGAAGGCAGCATAGATTTACCCCTTACGGATGAACTAAATCAGAGATGCATAGTAGAAGCTTTCATAAGCAGCAGGCTTACTTCATCAGATGCTGTGTTACTGACAGGCTGTGGACACATTTGCTTTTACCCCATCAAGTCACACTTGCAGCTCAGAGCAATCATATGAAATGAAAAAATTGATGCTGGGTATAGTTTAGTGGCCGATGGGCTCTGATATGGCTTGTAGTGTTGTCTGAACACTTTAAGATAAAAAAATCATTGTTTGTTTTTCCTGGCATCCTACGAGGACAGTGCATTTCCTTATGTAGGCATGTTTTAAGGATCACATCTGTCCGGGCTACATACTGCTTTTTAGAGTTTGTAATTTTGCAAAATCAAGGGAAAGCACCCAGCAAAGGCTGTTTCTTGTTCCAAAACTGCATGAGCCTCTGTGAATGCGAGACCCTTGACTAGCGCAATGCACACTTTGCTCTCTAGAGGGCACTTGCTCTTTAGCCGCAGCTACCAGAACTGGACTGGCTCACTCCCTCGAGATTAAGTTTATAGCCAGGGCTCTGCATGGAGGCTTGCGTAGACCACGGTTCTTTCAACCCAAATTCTCGAGACAAAAGAATACGCCATTCAAATCGCCTTGAGCTGTATAGACAGTTGTATGTAATAAAAAGGAGGGCACATGCAGCACCCAAGCTTGCAACAGCTCATCAAGCAAACCCCAGTATGAAACCTCCAGAAGGGGAAGGAAGAGCTGCAGGAACCCCCTCATGCTGATTTTCCACTTGCTTCACGGCTTCTAGCATAATTGTGATGTGAGAAGAGCCTAGTGGCTTCCTCAGTGAACTGACCTCCCTGGCGCTCACCTTGTATGTGGGCAAAGACAGGGTCAAGTCATGGCTTACCCGCCCACCAAGCTTTTGAACTGTTTGTTGCTGACCGACTGGGTCCTCATGAAGGCCCTTGGCCCTAACTACTGAGGCACATCTGGCAGCTGGGATCCATGTAAAAGAACTAAAATGTCTGAACTTATTCCCCAGCCATTTCATTGGAGCTGATTAGTCTGGCAGAAAGTCAGACTGAATAGACTTGAGTCCCACTGGCTTCTCAGTCGGCCCCAGTAAAAGTGGGCGGGGGGGCAGTCAGTATTACACTTTGGCAACATGCAATCAGTAGCTGAGCCTCACAAATCACTGGGCTTGGTTATGGTCCCAAAAACCTGTCCTTCCTTCCGCCTTTTACACAGAGACTCAGCAGAGCAGGTCACAGGGCTGGGAGTGAGGGAGCTAATAGTGCCCTTTGCAGTCCCCCATCATCAGGCTGCCCTATGTAGAAAAGCAGCCTCAAGGCTGCTGTAGCTCAGGCTGGTTTTCCCTAGCCCACCAACCCAGCAGCCTGGAATAGACCAGGGAAGGAGAGGTCATGGCCTTACCCTCCAGGTACGGATGTAGCAATGGTGTAGTATGAGAGGGCACAGTCCCCAAAGGTCTACAGTGATGGGCATTTCATGCCCTCTTCTGCCCCTGTCTCATGCATGAACACGTGGATGGCGTGCTGCCATGGTACAGCAATCCATGCTGCAGCCTGCTTCTCTGAGCCAGCACCAGCTTTGGGTTGGGACCACGCAAGAAGATGAGAAGGGATTGGGATGCAGGGGGGTGGTGTGAAAGGCAGGGCTAGGGACCCAGCTGAACTGGAACTGGCACCTTCCCCAGCCCAGCTCCATAGTTGTTTGTGCCCTGCAGACCTGCCTCCCCCCCTGTCCCCTGCCAAAGCCCACCTGTCCCTGTGGTAGTAATGGCAATCCCAGTCCCAGAATGGGGACAGAGCCGCTGGGCAAGGAGGGTGGCTCTGCATCCTGCGCAGCTCATTGTGTGAGTGCCACTTCCCTGGCTTGAGCTCCAGGCCAGCTGCTCCTCAGGTCATTTATAGCTGTTCACAGCACGGTCTGGGCTGGGGGAGCTATTCGTGAATGCCAAGGCTGCAACATTCCCACCAGGGAGGCACTGGGCTTCCTGACAGAGGATGCAACGTGCTGGAGGTAAAGGGAAGCCCCAGCCAGAGCCAAGAATAGCTCGTGGGGACATACTGCCGTCTACCAAGCAAGCATGCGGGGGTGGGGGCTGGGAAGCAGGAAGAAGCTCTGTGTGCCAAAGCATTAAACTAGCTGCTGCTGTCTGAGACCAAGGGCCACTTCAGGCAAGTGAGACTCAAGAAGAGAAAAGCATGACGCATGCAGCAGTGGAAGCAAAACCCTGTCACCCCTGATTGATAAGGAGCAGTTGGTGTTTAATGACCTGTAAAAGAAGCAATCAAATCCCACTGGCTAGGAACATACAGCAGGAGAACAAGGGCAACAGCCCCAGTGTGTTGTGTCTGGTGACTAGTTGCATGAAGAGTCATGAAGAAGGGCAGGGAGCACAGCCATGGGGGAGGACATGGGCAGCCTTGTGGCTGGCGAGCAGAGATTGGCCTCTGCTCCATAACACGAGTCCAACCACCAGGCTGTGGACCTAAAAGCTTCTGGGGTTCTCACGTGCCAGCCTTGAGGTGCGTCCTTGCCAGGCTGCCCCACACAGCCCACCCAACACAAGAAATGGGCAGGGGTTGGGGAGCGCAAAGTAACCACTGATCTTTCCTGTTGCCTAATGAACCATGCCCTTTCCTGATGGTTGGGCACTGTTAGTTGGCATCCACTCAGTGGCCTATGGCCTCCTCAGCAAGAAAGCAGCTTGCTGATGGCCCTGACCGTGCATTTACCCCTGCCCCCTGCAATAAGAAAGGAGGCACTTTCTGAGGCACTGAGAAAGGTTCCTGCCTGCCCTGGTCTATTTGTAGTGCCTTCCAGGTGGGACGCTGGCCAGGCTTGAAGGGCACAGTTGCAGAAATCCAGAGCCTGAGCCAGGCGGCAGCCTAGTGGTTGGTGGGGGAGGCTTCCCGAGGGCTGGGATTCTTGGACCCGACTTGCTGCTCGCTGGGCGCTGGGCAAAACCCCGGGCTGTTAGAGCAGCACCTGCTCGGGTTGCCCATTTCCTGAATGGGGGCTGCTCCCTCCCCTCTGGTGCTCGCTCAGCATGTGGGTGTGCTAATACCCCAGGCCTGTGAACCAGACACAGTGAAAGCAAGAGTGAGAGAGAGACAACTATTGCTTTGTCCAGTACCAGGTCCCTGACTTAAAAAAAGAAAAGGTGGGGTGGAACGTGAAGGACTCAGCCAGCCGCAGACCAGAACTTGTGACTGTTTCTGGGGCCATCCCAAAACCCTGCACCACGGGACAAGATGCGTGCTGAGACGCCCTGTCCTGGGCCAGACCAGCACTCGCTGCAGGGTGAGGTGGGAGGGAGAGAACCGTTGCTCCATCCCGCCGCTGTTTGTGCTGCACATGTGTTGCCTTTGAGTCCCCTCCATGCCCGTTGCTAAGACCTGGGCTCAAGGCTGGACTCTCTAACACCGCTTTAGTTCAGCGTTAAATCAGCTGTTTTCAACTAGGGGACCATGACACCCTGAGGTGCCATGAGATCCTTTTAGGGGTGCTGTGCAGTATCAGCACGGTTAGGTGTGTGAACACATACATATGATTCACAAGATAGACCCAAAATTTCAAACGGGAATTCAGCATGTCGGAAAGGCCAACTTGCTGTGGGTTTCCTGAGTTCTTTGCACCAGCTTTGCCCCCTGCTCAAAAATGAGTGAAAGCTGCAGCTGGCACTTTCCAAAGATTTCCACTTGATTTTAATGAGGGGGTGGGCCTTGAGTCTAAAAGGCTTGAGATCCACATTCAAAAAAACGTGGAGGACAGGGAGTGCAAAAAACCTCAGAACCAACAAGACTCACATCACAGCATGCCAGGCCTGCCCGTTCCCCTCTGCTGGCTGCAGGACCACCCTGTCTTGCTGTGCCTGGCCACTCAGGGTGCCAGCCCAAAGAGCAGTGTAACCAGCTGCAGTGCCCAGCTAGGTTCAAAGCCAGGGCTTGTGGCCTTGAGTTGCTGTCAAGGGCTTGTGTGGGATATGGGCTTAAGGCCTCTCTGCTTTGGCCTGTCTTCAAGTCCATCTTTCTGAGGCCCATGAGGTGGCCCCTGCCTACAACCAGCCCTTGGCCAGCTTTATTACTAAAAAAGGTCCAAGAGCCTCCAGCACGCTGGGATGAGGAACTCAAGAGTTGTAAGGAGACAGCCCCGGCCAGTGCCAGTGCTCCCCCTCACCTCTGAACCCTTGACTCTTCCTGTCCGGGTGGCAAAGGGGCAAAGCTTGAAGGGGAAAGCTTGTCAGGAGCCTACTGCTTTGCAGGCACGTTGCGGAGGTGCAGACTGCAAAGCTGGATCTCCCATGGACTGCTACTTGGGTGCTAGCACAAGCCATGCTCATAGGCAAAGCTTTTCTCTCAGCAAAGAACAGAAGTGGGGGTGAGCAAGTGACCAAGCAAGCCCCCAGGCCACAGGAGAAAAGACAAGCTGATCCCCACCTTGAAGCCTAGGGTCCTGGCAGTGCAAAGGCAAACCTTGGAGGCTAGCCTGCTCATCCTGCACCCTTCAGCATAGCTGCCTGCCTGGACAGTGCACTGGCCCGGGTTCAAGAGAGACCTCAGGGCAGGCTGAGCTCGGGACCTGCTTCCAGGCTTCATGTGCCTGGCACAGGCTGGAGAACAGAGCTTGATATTTTAGGGCTTCAGTGTGGGCCATGGATACAACTCCCTCAGGCTGACAACGATCACCCTGGGTCCCCCCATGGCTGGGTGAGTGCCTCAAGGGAAAGTGAGCATGGTCACACAGGAGGTGGAGAACAAAGAACCACCGCGAGGGTGGTTGCATGGAGGAAGGCCACAGGGGACAGGACAGGGAGAAATGGCTTTAAATTGCAGCAGCAAAGAAC